TAACAAAATCCTGACCGTTGATTAATATTAAGTTAAAATTAATCAACGATCAGAATTTTGTCACGTCATTCGATGCATAAATTCGGTGCACTTACCGTCGGTGACTATATTATTTTCCTGGTCTTATTCCCACATGATATTGTCATATTTAGATCAACTTGACAATCCGCTACACTATAGTTCGAATGCTCTTCTCTTGAGTTGTTATTCCTACATGTCTTAACAGATGTTCTTTCCCTAATGTTTCCTTCTTACTCGTGCCTTCAATATGTTCTTCAATCGTAGAAGTCGTATGTTTGGCATATATGTTCTATTCCCGTTCTTTTAATTTCCTTTATTTATATCATTAATTAAATTATAAACTCATAACATATATGTCTTAAATTTAAATAGCTCGCACGTTGTAGGGTTTTCTCACATGGCATTGTCAAATTTAGACAAACACGATAATCCACTACACTCTTGTAATATGAATATAAACTTATGACAATTGACACATCAATGATATCATACTTTGATGAAGATAAATTTGCTTAGTTGCAAAGTACATTTTTTATATCATTTGGGTATGACAAAATTTTCTTTGAAAGGACATGTTGCCAAAGATGAAGTTATTAAATAAACTCTTGATCTTATTCTTAATCATGTCAATTTATTTAATCACAATTAAATTATTGACCTTTTGTACTGTTAAAATTATTTATTTTTAAAATATACTCTTATTCTTATCTATGTTTATGTGGTTAGAATAGTTTATGATTTTATGATTAAACCAAAATAGAATAGAAATTGTTTCAACTAGCTTATTCAATAAACAAAGTGGGACAAAGAAATGAATAAGTTGGACAAAGAAATGAATTTTGATTTATAAAATCCATTGTTTTATTATTTAAATAAAACTTTTTTTTTCCTCTATAAATTCTAGGCTCCGTTTGGTTGGTTTTTGGGAATACTATTATTAGTATTCCCAAAAAAGTTAAATAGTAAAATACTTAGGCTTCGTTTGGTTGGATTTTGGGAATACTACTTTTAGTATTCTCAAAAAAGTTAAACAGTAAAATACCCAAAAACTCATAATATTATTCAACTTTATTCAACTTTTTTTAAACCCCTTAAATTTGTTAATTTAATTAAATACCCTTAAATATTTTTAATGTTTTTGTTACAGCAACTCCGGCCACCCTCCGGCAATGGTGGTCGGCTGTCCGTATTTGAGGGTGGGTTGGAGGTGTTTTTGTTGACTTTTAATGTTTTATTATAGGGGGTGTTTTGTAAAAAAACAAACATAGAGGGTATTTTATAATTTGTAAATCTTACATCGTAATACCCGCCCAATTCAACTTTTTTTTAACTTTTTTCAAAAAACTTTTTCCAAAAACCCAAAATTTTGTACCAAACGAAGCCTTAAAAACTCATAATATTATTCAACTTTTTTTAAACCCCCTAAATTTGTTAATTTAATAAATACCCCTAAATATTTTAAAAAAATTGCAAAAACACCCCAGCAATCCACATTTACCAGATTCCGATCACCACTGTCGGAAAATGGCCGGAATTTGGTAGGATGGCCACTACCGGCTGAATCTGGCCGATAGTGCGTCGATCTAGCCTTTTCCGGCCAGATCCATGGTGCATTTGGCTGGAAAAGGCCAGATTTTTGGTCGTAACCAGTCGGTAACGACGACCAACAAACGGTCGTCGTTGACCATCAATGACGACCGTTTGTTGGCCGTCATTAACGAGCAAATACGGCTATAGATCTGACCGAAAAATGTCATATCAGCGCACGACCGGCAAGATCCAACCGGTCATGAGTTGATACGGCGACTCCGACCACCCTCCGGAGGTGGTGGCCGGCTGTCCGTATTTGAGGGTGGGTTGGGGGTGTTTTTGTTAACTTTTAATGTTTTATTATATGGGTGTTTTTATTAACTTTTAATGTTTTATTATAGGGGTGTTTTGTAAATAAACAAACATAAGGGGTATTTTATTAATTTGTAAATCCTACATCGTAATACCCGCTCAATTCAACTTTTTTTTAACTTTTTTCAAAAAACTTTTCCCAAAAACGTAAAAATGTGAACCAAACGGAGCCATATGTCTTCTGATTATATTAAAATACATCATTTTATGTTACAAATTTTTATATTCTCTATATTATTATTGTATATCAATAAAAAAATGTAAATTTATTAAAAAAAGTTTTAAACATCGACCCTTAAGGAAAAAAGTCTCTTTATCGTTAATATGCTGTTATTGAACTGTTAACATTTATGTGATAAAAAATTTATAAATATTATTAAATTACTCTCTTAACATTTATTTTTGAAATCTTAAGAGATCTATTATTTCATAACGGCAATTAATAAAATTAACCCTAAAAAAAAAGCGACACAATTCGGAATTTACCTCTTCCGTTGTGTACGAAGAAAAGCCACGTGTAATTAAGACTCTTTAGTTACCTGCCACCTCATCACTTTAAAAGCGGCCGATTCTCTCACATCAACAACTCAAAATGCTTCCAAAACGCTTTTAGGACCACGTTTTGCCATTAACAAATATTTTATTTAAAAGGATAAAATCCCATTGGTTTACCAATAAATAATAATAAAAAGTTATCAAAATGCTTTTTTAATATTATCTTTAATTATCATCACAATCTTGATTTATTTATAAATACAAGTTAATTTTTTAATTTAAACTTCTTAAGCATCAAATTTTTTATAGATTTTTTAATTATTTCCTAAATATCGCGTAATTAATGGATTAAGAAATATAGAGGGATTGAATTATCGTCACCGAAAGAAATAAAAAACAATTCCACTTCCGTAATTCACTTCGACAAGTTTCTAACTGTCAAAGTGTAACCAATCTGAAACTAAATTTCCAAAAACACCTCATCGGTTCAACCTAATCACCACTCAACCGTACAACACACGTAAATGAACCAACTATCAGCCCCAAAAGCGTCAAGAAAACTACCCGCCTATAATGACTGCCATTTAACTCCTCCAGAACTCTCCTCTTTTAAAACTTTCTTCTACTTTCCACTCGTTTTTCTCGAACTTTCTCGGGAATTTAAAATATCTCTATAAAATCAACTTCTTGTTCCAAACCCACTTCAGATTTTCCCTCAAAACAATCAGAAAACGCTCAAAATCTTCTTTAACTCTTTTATCTGATCGATTCATCGGATTATTCTGATTCAAAATGGCGAGTACAAGCGAAGGCAAAGCAATTGGCATAGACCTCGGCACGACTTACAGCTGCGTGGGCTGTGGCAAAACGCGACCGCGTAAGATCATACCAACCACCAGGCAACCGCACGACCTCGTCCACGTCTTCACGGACACCGAGCGGTTAATCGGCGACGCTGCGAAGAACCAAGTGGCCATGAATCCGCAAAACACAGTGTTCGATGCGAAAAGACTCATCGGTCGTCGTTTCTCCGACCCGACGTCCAAAGTGACTGAGGCACTGGCCTTTTAGGGTGATTCCGGGACCCGAGAGAAGCCGATGATCGTGTTCAGTACAAAGGAGAAAGAAACAGTTCTCTCCTGAAGAATATCGTCCATGGTGCTGACGAAAATGAGAGAAATCGCGGAAGCTTATCTCGGTCAGAGTTAAAGAACGCAGTGGGACGGTTCCGGCGTATTTTAACGACTCTCAGCGGCAGGCCACGAAGGACGCCGGAGTGATCGCGGGGCTTAACGTGATGAGAATCATTAATGAACCAACTGCCGCGGCCATTGCTTATGGTTGGACAAGAAAGCTTCAAGAAAAGGCGAACAAAACGTGCTGATTTTCGACCTCGGCGGCGCGGACTTTTGATGTCTCATTGTTGACGATCGAAGAGGGTCTTTGAAGTTAAAGCCACGGCGGGAGATACACATCTGGGCGGTGAAGATTTTGACAACAGGATGGGTGAATCATTTTGTGGCGGAGTTTAGAAGAAAGAATAAGAAAGATATCAGCGGCAACGCTCGAGCTTTGAGGAGATTGAGAACTGCGTGCAAAGGGCGAAGAGAACTTTATCTTCCACCAGTCAAACGACAATCGAGATTGATTCTTGTACGAAGGGGTTGATTTTTAGCGACGATTACCAGAGCCAGGTTCGAGGAGCTGAACATGATTTGTTCGGAAGTGTATGGAGCCTGTGGAGATGTTTGAGAGACGCCAAGGTTATAAAAGTCATGTTGATGAAGTGGTTCTTGTCGTGGATCCACCAGAATCCCGAAAGTTCAGTCGCTTTTGCAGGATTTCTTCAACGGGAAGGAGCTCTGTAAGAGTATTAACCCCGATGAGCTGTGGCGTATGGAGCGGCGGTTCAGGCTGCCATTTGACTGGGGAAGGAAACGAGAGGTTCGACTTGTTGCTTCTTGATGTTACGCCTCGAGTCTTGGCCTTGAAACTGCCGTGGAGTGATGACTACTTTTTCCAAAGGAACACGACAGTCCCTGCCAAGAAAGAGCAGATTTTTTCGACCTATTCGGATAATCAACCGGCGTTTGATCCAAGTTTATGAAGGCGAGCGGCGAGAACGAAGGATAATAATCTCTTGGGAGTTTGAGCTCACCGGGATCCCTCCTGCGCCGAGGGAGTTCCCCAATCAATGTGTGTTTTGACATTGATGCTAATGGCATTCTCAATGTCAGCGCGGAAGATAAAACGGCTGGTGTGAAGAACAAGATCACCATTACGAATGATAAAGGAGGTTGAGCAAGGAAGAGATTGAGAATATGTGAAGAGGGCGGAGAGGTACAAGGCTGGGATGAGGGAGTGAAGAAGAAGGTGGAGGCGAAAAAGGATTGGAGATATGCATATAACATAACACCATAAGGATGAGAAGTTTTCCGGGAAACTGAAGCCAGAGGAGAAGAAGATCGAGAAGGCGGTGGCTGAGACCATAGAGTGGCTGGATGCGAACCAGTTGGCTGAAGTTGATGAGCTCGAGGACAAGTTGAAGGAGTTGGAGGGGATTTGCAATCCATTATTGCTAAATGTACCAGGGCGGCGCTGGTGGTGATATGCCAATGGGATGTATGCCCAGTGGCGCCAGCAGCTATGGTGGTGCTCAGCCGGGTCTGGAGGGTGCAGGGCCGAAGATTGAAGAAGTTGATTAAAATTAATGTTTTGAGGGCCTTGAAGGGCAGAGTTGGTGTGCTTTTTTTGAGTTTTGACTGCTCTGTTACCCGGTCGGTCCGGGTCATGGATTGATCCATTGGATTTGTATATGGGTTGGTTAAGGTTTGCATGTAAATGTTTTAGTTTTTTCTTCTTTACAAAAATAAGACATAATGTAAGGTGTAGTAAGAGCATAAATACTCTTTTCTAAATAAAGTTTTTGATATATATTATCAAATGTTTTTTAATAGAGCTAGCAAAATATCATACCCATTACTTGCAGTAATATTATGGTTCAGCATAGAAATTAACAATCTTGAACTCAATTGAATAAAACGAGAGACAAATTGAAGCTTTGAAGATGGCTGAAATATTTAAGTTAATTTATGTGTATTTTAATTAATTACTTGTGTGTTAGAATGTTAGTTGGTTTTTTTTTTTTCTCAAAATCAGGAAAAGATTTAAATTTAATACTTTTTCCTTATCGAGTTATTAAGGAATTAAAATTTAAAATTTTTAAATAATATATTTAAGAATTTTATTGAGCCACTTTTCTACACTATAAAACAATTCTTATAATATCATTCTTAGAAATATATTTACATGGTTAAAAGGATTTCTTATGAGAGCATCTTTTGGATCGTCTTAGATAATGTGCATTTATTAGAATATTTTGTTAATAATTCAGGGATTTTCCATAAAAAGTATATAAACATTTTTTTAGATTTTTTCTTGGGAAATATGAATTATTGTCGGCTACTAATGTTTAACTTGTTTTAAATTAAAATCCATTTATTTATTATTATTTTTTTGGAAATATATTATGTTCGATTACTTTTGTTTAAATTATTTTAAATTAAAACCATTTTAATTATTTATTGTCACACGTGATTTTGAATTATACTCTTTAAAAATAAACAAATAGTTGAACACAACTTCAAATATTTCAACAAACATATAAAGCAAGTTTCCTGTTTTATATAAAACAATTTTTGTGATTATATATATATATATATATCAAACTTATAATTTTATCTTGGGCTGAAGATTAAGCCCGGACGCTTAGCCCGGCCCGGCCCAATCTGACAACCAGTCCGCTCAACCTTCAAATTAAAATAAAAATTTCTGGATAGAAAAAAAATTTCTCGCTGGTGAGCTGAGCTAAGTAATCAGCAAACGCGCTCCACTGGAACTACGCCAGCGCCATGGCTGTTCTTGCCACCACAGCTCTCCCCTTTACTAAAACCGCGCCGTGTTTCTCTTCATCTGAATCCAAATTCTTCGGTCTCCATTTCTATCCGTAATCCTAACCATCTCTTTCTAGTCTCTATTTCCTCGTCCCCTCACCAGCACCACAACAGCTCGCATCACCGCCCGCTACGGCGGCGGAGGCGGTCGTGGCGGGCCCCGTTTCGATTCCAGACGGTCCCGACGGAACGAATCAGACGATGAACAAGTCTTCGATATCGATGGCATCAGGTGTTTATCTTTGATTACGGTTAATTATTCATGTTTATTGTGATTGCGGAGTGACTTGAAGTGGTTGTTTGTGTGGAATAGGTCAGCTGCTGTGAGACTTATCGATGCAAAGCAGAATATGGTTAGTTCTCTTTTGCTTTCTAATGTATCTTTTGTTTGGATGCTGAGAAAGGGCAAAATAATCTTCTTTTTGGAAAATTTGAATCTTTGCTTGGTTTTAAGAAAAAAATTTAGATTTTTTTTTTGTATGGTGTAGGCTAGTACGCCAACTTTATATTAAATATATTACAAGTATAATGTTTCAAGTTAAAAAATAGAAAATTGAATTGTCCAAGTAAAAATTACAGTACTGGGCGCTGTAATGCGGGAAAATTTCTTGTTTTTGGTGTGAAAGTATTGATTTTGTTTTGTGCTGCAGGTTGGTGTGGTTTCTAAAAGTGAAGCCATTCAAATGGCTGAAGACGCTGAACTTGACCTGGTATGCTTTTTCCTGTTCTTTTTCAGTTTTTCTTGACAAATAAATGTTTGTAGGGCATAATTCGTTACAAAAGATTTATTTTGTAAAATTAGCCATTTGCTGCAAACTACTGCGTTCTAATGATTGGAGTTCATTGTGTTACAGGGCCAGTGTTATTGTCTACTTACTTTTTGGTTGGGTTTAGTAGTGAGAATGCTTTATATTGGGTTCATTTGCATGTCGTAGAATCTGCAAACTTTTGTGTTGTGGCCGCATCACGACTAAGAATGTTTCGTTTTTATGTCTTGGGAAGAATTCAACTTTCCAAAGTTCTTACTCTTAATGAGTGTTTTAAAGTGTATGCAGTCTGTTGAAATTTAAGACTACTTCTATTTGTATAAAAATGATAGATATTAACTTTTTCTGTTTATACATAATTTCTTAGAATAAGTGTAAAGTCAGTACCACAAACAACATAAAATATCTTAATTATTGTTATTCACTTAAATTTTCCAGACAAAATGAACAATCCCTTGTAATAGTGACATTAAAGTAAGAATTCAGGTTTACTTTTCAACTTACTAGTTGTATATTTCTATTCCTTAAAGAAGCATGTTAATTCTCTTCTTAGTTATTTCACTGCCGTGGTTGAGTAATTTGTTCCTTAGCTCTTTACATATCTTAAATTTTTTTCTATGAGAGGTAAACATTCTTTGAAGTTTACTTTTAACACTAGGATAGTGCTATGGAATTTTATGGAACTAATCCCTATTGGCAATTTTTGCAGGTAATAGTATCCCCAGAAGCCGATCCACCAGTTGTCAGAATAATGGACTACGAGTATGTATTTTGCTTAATTCTTTCAAGGAATGACATGGGATAATGCACATGTCTATATTTATATTTTACTTCTTTATTATGTTTTTGATTATAGTTTGGAAGAAAGATTTCTGCAGATATAAAATCTGCTGTTGTATATATATTTTTGTGAATTTCCCAAGATGATGAATTTTGAGGGTCACTGGCTTTAGTGCTCACGTAAATAATGATGACATATAGATCAGTATGGCAGTGACTGGTTTATTTTGGTTTTGATAATTAATGCCTGTTTTTACTTTTTTCTCAGTAAATATAGATATGAGCAACAAAAAAAGAAAAGAGAACAGCAGAAAAAAAGTGCTGGTGAATGTCTTCTACCTTTTAGAGCTTACCTTTTCTCTAATTAATGCATGAATTTTCACTTATGAGAAAAGAATAAAGATACTGACCAAAGCATTCTTTTAAATGTTAGCCAATCGTATGGATTTGAAGGAGTTAAAAATGGGGTAAGTTCTTTGATACATTGATCAAAATAATTATTCTGGAGCTATACCATAGATATAGTTATGGTTACTTTATTTTATTTTTATTGAAAATCATTATGTTTGACTCTGTTAACAGTTACAAAATTGATCAACATGACTATACTGTTCGCTTGAAAGCTGCACAGAGGTTTTTGAAAGATGGTGACAAGGTAGATTAGATATTCTTATGAACATATCTTATTTAGATTAACACATCTATGATATTTGCTTGTATTTTTTTCCATTTTAAGAATTTGAGCAAATTTGTTCAGGTTAAGGTTATAGTAAACCTCAAAGGGCGGGAGAATGAGTTCAGAAATATTGCAATTGAGCTTATTAAACGTTTCCAGAATGATGTTGGAGAGGTAACTGTTATATTTGTTTCCTACCATGAATATGCGCTATGTGAAATTTGGGAACAATAGTATTTTATATGTTTCCTACTATGAGAGAGCGATATTATTATTTGTTATTATATAAAACGTAATATTAGTTTACTGTTGTATTTTAGTTTTATTAATTTCTAAATATTTTTCTGGGAATTTCGTTGCTAAACTAGGCAATTCATGGAGAAATTAGTTGTAAATGAAACTTCAACAATCAATGTGATTCCCTGTTTTACTTTTAGCCTTTCCTTTTCCACTCATTTAATTTTGTATGCCGATCTTTCTTGGTGCAATGGTTTGCAGCTTGCAACTGAGGAGAGCAAAAACTTCAGAGACAGGAACATATCCATCGTTTTGGTTCCAAACAAGGCTCTATTACAGAAGACACAAGAACCACCAAAGAAAAAAGATATTCCAGTCGCAAATGAAGTCTCAGCTGGTGTCTGAGCTCACTCTAATATTCCAAGAGGTATTTTAACTAGAGAAAGTTGGCCAGTGATCTTTATCTATGCTCTGCAACTGGGTCGATTCTTGAAACTTGTGTATAGCCTTAGTGTAAAATAGCACCTGTACGACAAGTCGATTAGATTATCAACAACATAAGCAGCATTTCCAAATCATATATTGTAACATTTGGCATAAATTTTGCGTTTTTCTCTTTCCAATTTCAAGTCAAGCGAGCATGTATAAGTTTTTGTGGAAGTTTCTTGTGGAAGAAATGCAGTCTGTAAGCTTTATGTGCAAGATGGGCAGGCATGATATCTTTACCTGCACCTTATTTAAGAACGATTCAGTTATAAGTTTTTGCCGATTAAATTGTTTGCAGTAATTGTTTGCTTCGCCGATTTGTCAAAACTATTCAACTTAGTCCTGTTATTTCTCCTGTTTTCTTTTCTCATTCTCAAAGTCATTGCGTAGTCACTTTGCTGGAACCTTTTGGTTGATTATAGGAAAAGGAAAATGTAAATATCACTTTCTCAAATGTTGCATGATGAAGATGTTTTAACATCCAACTTAGCTAATCTCTATTGTGTGCTAGACTTTGCTTGTGTTATTACCTGCGTCAAGAACTTACCTAAACCATGCCAAGTTGGATATCTGGAAACTCTTCTGTTCACTTTTCCTGTTAAACTGTGTGTTGCATCTTAGAGATATCAAAAGTAGAGTCTCGGATACAACAGACATACCACATAATCCCTACCTCTAGTATATGGATATGAATTCATCGGTTGAATGTGCCGGTGACAAGTTTGTTCTATTGACCACCGGGGAGAAATCGCCCTAGACGAAAAGGGAATATATAAGTATGTGATTATGTAAGTAATATGTGTTTTTCGATCAAATTTTTAAGTAGGAGAGACAAAACTATCCAGATGTAGAGGCTCCATCTTACTTTACCTAATGATGTGAACTTGACTTAGGTTTTAAGTTCTTGCATTTGAAGCATACTTCTCCACATGTTATATTTATCTTTCTTCCTCTGCAAAACTACTTACCAAACAAACTGCTGAAAGCAATGGTTCTGTACCATACTTGTATCACGTTTGGCCTGATTGCTCCTCTTCTAAGCATTTTTTTTTTTGACTTATTTTATTTATTCATATAATCGTATTTTTCGTAAGCTATTCGGGTAAAGAACTCAGATAAATTTAACAAAATTTAATAATTCTTTACGTATATAGTTGATCGACATTTCTGGGTATAGGATGGACCCAAAAATTTTAAACCAGAAATTAGTGTTGATCCACATATTAATTTTCATTCAGGTGGCAGTGATAAGGATTTCAAATTGAATAGCCAATTAATTTCTGCATTCAAGAGGTACTCAATCAGAAAGATTAAATCTGGCATCAAAGGATTATCTTAATTGAAAACAATTCAATTTGCCGCCAACTTTTGAAGTTTGGTAATGGTTAGACCTTGACCCAGAAACTAAAACACTTTCTAATTGGTGCTTTTCATAGTTGCAATTGTGACTAAAAATATTAATTAATTAATTCCTGGTCAGTGGTCACAAGATTAGTCCTTATAACTTAGTCTATAATTTTGACAGTGGTTCAATGGTCGAAAGATAGATTACTCAATATAAGAGGCTGACTATACCCTCAAATACATACATTTAGGATTAAACTTATACCTCGGAAATACGTAGACCATCATTATTTTCAAGATATAAATCTTGCTTAAGACGGTAATTCACGATTAATTATCATTAATCAATACTAAAAGACAAAATTATTATTCATCAACGGCCGTTCTTATTTAAAAAAATTTAAACTATTCGTGATCGACTGAGTAATTAAATGATAATTATTGGATGTATTATTCAAGAAGTCTTAAATTTCTCAAAGAATTAGTCACTCAAAGGTATACTTGAACGGATTATTCATGGGTTCGCTTTGAGTTTAACTCATATAGATTTGTCGCAATCATACTTCACCCAAAATAAATATATTAGAGAAATTTGGTGTTACTAACATCAATATCAATAATAAATATTGAAATACTAATGATTTGAATAGTGAAATATCCATAAGAATCGTCATTTGACAACTCTTAAAACTCCTTGGAAGTACTTAGAATATATCCCATTAAAAGGAAGAGACAGTGTAAAAGAAGGAACGAAAATGGTGGTCGTCGAAGCTTGAAAAACAAAGCTCAAAACGGTAGTTGAAAAATAGACGAAGCTTAACTTTAAGGCAATGGAGACTCTGCAACTAACTTCACCACCCTTATGTGGACACATTAGGTGAAAAAAAATAATCAATATTTTCAGTGTCCAAGTTATGTCCTACAGCTTCTTCTTCTCCTTCATCAAATATAACCCCCCAACTCTCATTTCACTATCTTCATCACCTCTCTTTCTCCCCATCAGCCATGGAAGCCAGCGCCGGACTCGTCGCGGGGTCGCATAACCGCAATGAACTTGTTGTCATCCACAACCATGAGGAGGTAATTGACTGAGAAGAAAATGAGTTGAAAGAGCGGAAATTGTTGGGTGGTTTTGTGTTGTAATGTGTGTTTTGTGGTTTGGTTTTTTGTGCAGCCTAAGCCTTTGAAGAACTTGGACGCTCAAGTTTGTGAGATTTGTGGCGATGAAGTTGGGCTCACTGTGGATGGAGACCTGTTTGTGGCTTGTAATGAATGTGGGTTCCCTGTGTGTAGGCCTTGCTATGAGTATGAAAGGAGAGAAGGAACCCAAGTTTGTCCTCAATGCAGGACTCGATACAAGCGTCTCAAAGGTAATGAAATTTGTTCATTTTTCTATGCATTTTCTAGAGGGTAACGCTTGTTATGTCTTTGGTCCATAAATTTTCTCGTACTGTCGAGGTTTTCTAAAATCACTTCTGTAGTATAGCATATTTTCATGCATTTTCTGACGGGTAAGGTTCATTATGTCACCAGACTAGTTAGTCACTCCTTTTTTATCTGGCTATCAGTAAATTTTCTCGTACCGTTGAGAGCGTACTGATGAGTTTGCTTTATGTTTGATGATTGTTGTGAAGGGAGTCCAAGAGTGGAGGGAGACGATGATGAAGAGGACATTGATGATATTGAACATGAGTTCAAAATTGATGAGGAACAAAACAAGAACAAGCAGTTGCATGTGGCTGATCTGCTTCATGGGAAGATGAGCTATGGAAGAGGCCCTGAGACTGATGAGAATTCCCAGTTCCCTCCGGTTATAGCCGGTGTTCGATCCAGACCTGTAAGCAAAAAAAGCTTTGCTCATTGTGAAGAATCAATAAATCTTTAAGGGATTATTGTAATAAAAAAGATCAAAATAAACATATTTATGTATGCAGGTGAGTGGGGAGTTTCCAGTTGGAGGTTATGGCCATGGAGAACAGATGCTGTCTTCTTCACTTCATAAAAGAGTTCATCCATATCCAGTTTCCGAACCTGGTAAATTAATAATCCTTCTGATAGAACTTGTAAGATGTTAACAGCGTGTTCTAAACTACATTTTGTGTCAAACAGGAAGTGCAAGATGGGATGAAAAGAAAGAAGGAGGATGGAAAGAGAGAATGGATGACTGGAAATACCAGCAAGGCAATCTTGGCCCTGAACCTGATGATGCTAATGACCCTGATATGGCCCTGTATGTAACCAAACTACTAGAAATTAAAAGTTCTCTTTCCTGTGAACGTCTGCATTTTTTTCAAAATCCGAACTCAAACTCCAGGCGGAAGGAGTACAGCAAAAACTTCCATTTCAGCAAACTCTTTCCGTCAGGGCTTCGAGTCCAGATTTAAAAAAAAATGCAGACATCTGCATCTGAGAATATTCACTAACAAGAAATGTCCTCATGTGTCAAATATTGCAGGATTGATGAAGCTAGGCAGCCACTCTCAAGAAAAGTGCCAATTGCCTCTAGCAAGATCAATCCTTATAGGATGGTGATTGTGGCTCGGCTTGTCATCTTGGCCTTTTTCCTCAGATATAGAATTTTGAATCCAGTGCATAATGCTATTGGACTCTGGCTAACATCTATCATATGTGAAATCTGGTTTGCATTTTCTTGGATTCTTGATCAGTTTCCCAAGTGGTTCCCAATCGATCGAGAGACCTATCTTGATCGCCTTTCATTCAGGTAACAATCTTACCCGAAAACTGTTTTTGAAAACATTTCTAACTTATTCTAATTTATGCGTTTTCATAATTCAGTCAAGTTGGTGACTAATTGCTTCCTGATAAATTTTTAATGTAGGTATGAGCAGGAGGGTGAACCAAATATGCTTGATCCAGTGGATATCTTTGTCAGTACAGTGGATCCCATGAAGGAGCCTCCTCTTGTCACAGCTAACACAGTGTTGTCAATCTTGGCAATGGACTATCCTGTTGATAAAATCTCATGCTACATTTCTGATGATGGTGCTTCAATGCTCACCTTTGAAGCCTTGTCTGAAACAGCTGAATTTGCTCGAAAATGGGTACCTTTCTGCAAGAAGTTGCATGAGCCTAGAGCCTGAGATGTACTTCACCTTGAAGATTGATACTCAAGGACAAAGTCCAGCCTACATTTGTTAAGGAGCGCCGGGCAATGAAGGTTCGCATAAATTTCATTGACTTCATCAAGTTCAGAGTACTTTGAATGAATTTTTTTTTTTTTTTTTTTTTTTTTTTTCAAATGAAGTGTCATTGGATGGTGCTTGTTTGACAGAGAGAATATGAAGAGTTCAAGGTTAGGATAAACGCTCTTGTTGCAAAGGCGTCGAAGGTTCCTCCAGAGGGGTGGATTATGCAAGATGGTACACCATGGCCAGGAAACAATACCAGGGATCACCCTGGAATGATTCAAGTCTTTCTTGGTCAAAGTGGAGGCCATGATGCTGAAGGAAATGAGCTACCCCGCCTTGTTTATGTGTCTCGTGAGAAAAGGCCTGGTTTCCAACACCACAAGAAAGCCGGTGCCATGAATGCCTTGGTAAAGATTCCACTGTCTT